CCATTCTTCCAGCTGTAAAGGCAGCAGAGTGATTATTGAACTAGAGCAGAAGGCCAGCAGCACCTTTCTATTTGAATCATGTTGGCTGCCTCTGGGGAGCATTAAGTTGTGTATGGCTCTCAACTTTTTTTACTGCCGTCTCTTTGAATCTTAATGCTCGTGTGGTTTCCTTTTCTTTGCTGTGGAATACAAACGGTCAGCTGAAGCCGAGAGGCACCTGAGGAGGCAAAACAAAGGGAATAATTGACGCATGTAGGGGCATTTTTGTAACCTGCATATTTGTATTCAGGATATTCAATAACAAATAGCTTCAAAGAGGTAAAAATACACTGAGTCTATAGCTAAACCGATGGATTTTGACCAAATGCTGACATCATTGTCCATTTAAGATTCAGAGGCTGCCTATGAATGCGGAACATTTATATAATTAATCTGGAGTTGGGCGCGGGTGCTGCTGTACTATCAGAAGAAAAGGAAGTTGGGGTTTCAGTAAAGACTAAGGTGTTGTCTTCAGTGGTTTAATGTTTAATTTTATGCCCAAGTGCATTGCAATGCTTGTAGCTCAGCAATTAAATAATAATTCAGTAATTCCAGAAAACAGATGCTTTGAAAAAGAATTAACATTTGCTATAAAATATAATCCCAGTATAAGTAATGATATTAGTCAATAAAATATCAAATTTCCCTCTTTCTTCCTGTTTTAAAAAATAATGTTCCCCTAAGAAATATTCAAATAAGCATGCATAATTCTCCTACATTTCCAAAATAGTTCAAACTTTTCAAGGACACCAGGGTAATGTTGGAGAGGAACACTGAGAGCACCATCTCCCCTGCCCCAAACGGCACTTCATCAGGAATCAACGTTCCTCAAGTGCTGATAGAACCACAGGGAAGGATTACTTGAAGAAACTTAGTCAAGCTCTACACAACATAATTACATTCACAGATGCCACTGTGACTTTTACTGTGCCAAGAAACAAGCCTTGTTCAGAAATAGAGTCCAATTCTCTGCGCTCTGAGGGATCTGAATTAGACCACCACACAGTGGAAAAGCCAACTCTGGTCAGGAAGATCAGTGTTCCAACTTTTTGTTGTGAAAAATAGAGCAAAAAAAACTCCAGTCTGTTGTCAGCAACAAGTCCTAACATTTGTCTAGATGGGGTTTTATCAGAGCCCTTTGCAAAGCTCATTTAATTTCGTTTCATTTGTGATGAAAAGCCAAGCAGAGATTGTAGAACATTCCTAAGTATATTCTTTTATTTATGTACACATTTTATGATGATGATCTGAAGGAAATTATGGCACCCATCACAAATATTTTTACTGTTTACTGTTACATGCATTTCTCTTGATTTCTATCTATAACTATGTTGTGTATGAAGCGTCATTTTTAAATTTATTCTCAGACTTTTGCACTCTTAACCCACTCTGACAATAAAATTAATTTATCCAATTGATCTGAAAAACCTTTTCTACATTTTCAAAGTTCATTTTTCGTGCAACAAGTGCATGACTAGCTGTACTAAGCAGATGCACTACAATAACTTTCAGCAGGTCCATTGGAAGCACTGAGGCCTGCTTATGCATTCCCAGCTCATGCATTTCAAATCCACTAGGAGCTGAACTTTATTAGCCGAGACCATCTCAGGCTGATGTAGGAATGCAGAATTAAAGACCTGAGGAATAGTTTCCATTGATGTCAGTTTCTGAAGAGCCTGTGTGAAATCAGGCTTAATGATAAGGCTCAAGTGAAACAAACCATCATCCAAATTCTCATTAAACATGAAACCTAATGTGCTTAAAATCCATATGAAATACAGCCAGAACAGTAAACTCCAATGATTCCTTTTAATAACAATGTTTACTAGCTAATCCTGGTGTTCATATACTGTACATCAGTTCAGTTCCATATGATTTGGTCGGATGTTGTGAATGTAATAATGAGTGTTCACAATAGCAAGTTCTGTCCCTTTATCTGATTAGGTGTTGCTTCATGTTGTGTAACTTTATCTGAACTTTTTCACATAAAAAATGTCAGTCCATCCATCTGCCAGAAAATCCAACCCTAGTGAGTTTTGGATCTGTTCCTTTTGCAGATTTGAGCGATTTCCTATGGGGTGTGCTTGAAAAACATTCCAATGGAGGCATCCAGGAGCCATTCTTATCAAAGTTAGCACTTTTGATGTGGCTCCACTCTTAGATTCTCCTAATGTCTAAGACTGGGCCAAGCCCCCCAGGAGGGAAAACTCATTTGAGACACTTGCATCCAAAATCTCATCTCACACATGATCCATGTCTCCTGATGAAAGGGGAGGAACCAAAACCTGCATATACCAGCAAACTCAGAGCTACATCTTTCAGCCCAGCTCCTTTGACACTGCAACAAATTAGAACAAAATCTTGATCACTGTAAAATATGTGTAAGACAAAAAATATCTACAGGAAAATAAAGTTAGATTAAGACAAATCCAATGCTGCGACGGCCTAAATAACTGATACTTTAAAGCCACATCCTACCCAAAGATGACCAGTTTTGGTTATTGAACGTTAAATAGGCCAAAACAGAAGAGTACGTTTCATGTACCCCAGCTGTGACTGAGACAAACAGCACTGCAGTTACCTGTTCCTTATTGGACCAAATGGACCATAATCAAGATAAATGTGGTCTGCAGCTTCAATTACATCCATATGGCTCAGGGCTCCAGCAAGCTCTCATGTTTCAACTCAATCAAATCAATAAGTTATTTATTGCCGCCAACACCCCAATGATGCTGAGAAACGGTGGGGGTGTGAGCAATTCATTTGGTTTCCCTATAATCAGAAGTGTTTTATGGCTTTCCTCTGAACAGCAGGGCATAATTTCATACTGAATGGTACTGCTGGGGATCATTCATAGACCTCAGTATAGTGAGCTCGTTTACAGAAGGGATCCAAGCTCATCAGTCAATTGAGTTTAATTTAAACAAAAACTGTGCTCACTGCTATTTTAAATATACGTTTTCTCAGGAAACAAGGCCTTTCTGCTGTTAGAGGAAAGAAACATTAGGTCAGTGGTAATGCATCAACCTGTGTGGCTTAAGGCGAACTCCTAACAGGGTGGTAAACTAATGATCAGCCTTCAGATTAATAAAAGAAGGTACAGGCGGAGAAACTGTGAAGTGGTATGCAAAACTGTTGTTTTGCTGCTGAGGTTGTTCTAATCTTCACCATTGATCAAGAAAAAACTTGAAAGTTAGTCCGGTTTTTAAAATCAGTCACTAAAGTGAAATGAGGAAAGAACGGTTAAAGTTATAGTATGCTGTCCATTAAGTGTTAAATTATGACTACAAAATTTAACATGTGGAATGCTTATATGGAGTCAGAAAGGGGTCAAAATGTTTGTAAACTTCTAAATCTTAGTTGATATTTAATGTGAATTTTTTGCCTTTTAATGTAATGCAAACTAATGAAGCAAACATAAAATTCTAAGAATTTAATCTGAAATCAATTTTGTATTTCTTTTCTTTATTGCAGTTTCAGATTTTCACATTGAAACCCATTATTTTCAGTTTCTTTTTTTGTTTCAAATTCCTTTTTCAGTTTCAGGATTTTTTTTATTTATTTATTTATTTTTTCATATTTGGATTTTGACCCCAATCTGACAGAAGTGGGCGGGGAAACATGATTGACAGCTTGCAGCAGCGCTGGAGAGCTGTCCCTTTCCGTGTTGCATTTAACCATTTATCCAGTGTAAATCTCTTTCTTGTATTATCTTTAACAGGATTTTGCTAAAAAGGCAAATAAATGCTGCAGAGATTGGTTTAGAGTCCCCACAGTCCATGAATGCAACATGGAGGATATCCATATACTATTTTTTTTTAAAGAAATTTCAAAGTATGCAAAATGCTAAAGCAAAACCAAGTATGACAGAAACTAGTGTTGTCCCAAGGTCTGTTATCCTGCTTCACGAGGAAAACTGTGCCAAAAGTCTTATCACAGCCAAAGTAAATGAATTGGCCCTACGCCTACTTATCAGAGACAGCTGCACAGCAAACAGATAAAGTTTAAACATGAGCAACCTTTTCAAAGCCAGCAAACTGCAGCATATAAACATGAGTTAACCATGCAGATATATCAGCTCACAAAAAGCATCTACGTTTCTGAAAAAGTTGCATCTTCATGTTATAATATTCTGCAGGAAACACTAACTCCTGTGAACAGTTCAGAGCTTATCAGGAGCGGAAGAATTATGGTTGTCAGGGAGTTGTAAAAAGAAGAGCAAGGTTCGGTTTCTCATAGATGCATATAATTTGAACCTGATGTTTGCTGTCACACTTTTTGTTGGAAAGAAAAAAATATCTAAAAGCCAATACACATCTGCACTGACTTTGTTTAAAGGTAATTTGGTAGGATATTCATTAGACCTACATTTGATGTGGTTGATCACAATGGGATAGGGGGGAAACATTTTGGTCTATTGGATTTTTTTTTTTTTAAACTTGCAACAACTAAGTGAGTACCTCATGGTGATTAATTTTACTGTAGGATGCATTATTGTTACACACAAAGGCATAAATTTCCATTGTCAGTCTATACAATGTATTTAGAACTCCACAAGGAAAACTTAAATTTCAGGAGTGCCTAAAGACATAAAACCCTGGATCTTACATTAGTTTTACTTAACTAACCTTTGAAGAACTATGGTTTTATCTCCGACCAGATCACATCAGTTAAAAAGTTTAGCCCTGATTACTTTTAAGATATACTACTGTAATTCTGTAAGAATGAAAATGCTTCCTGCTCAAATATGCACATATCATCAAGGTTAATCTGAAATCAGATCTAATTGTTTCATGTATCCATTTTCCAACGAGTTTCTCTATAAGATTCACTTATAGAGAATATATATTATATTTTTAGCTTCACATTTATCTGTCATTCAAAATATTGGTGCCATTAGCTGCTTTGTGTTGCTTATTTGCAGTTTTTTTTATTTCTGTAGAAATAACCACTCACAAACAGGCAATAGCAGTGTTTATTTGGTCTTTGAATATTTGTATAGAGTTCAAAATTATGCATCATTTTAGTAAAGGCTCAGTCAGCTCAATTGTCAGTGTAATGTAGAAAAAAAACAAAAACCGGCAGGGCAGGTTGAGGTTGTTTGCTCCCTACAGGAAGAAAACTTTACTGAGCAGGTTGTAAGCCATGGAGAAGGTAACCAGCATTCCCAGGAAGTAGGAGAGCCCCCTGCTGGGCTGAGGCAGGGCCAGGATGTAAGCAAAGCTGTGGAAGATCCGAGCTGCTGTAAAGATACGGAAGTGAAGCAAAGCAGTGGCTAGCTCAGGTCCAGACAGGGCATAAAGCAGCCCGATGAAGAAGAATGGAATTATGTTCTCTAGGTCATTATGGTGACACCTGTGGAAAGAAAAAAGAGAAATAAAATAATTATTATTCAGAAAAATGAATAAATCTACCATTACAAATGATTATCCAGCAAACCTGAGAAGAGGATGATAGTTTTAATGATAATTTTGATTTCTATTTGTCATCTCAAAGATTTGTATTAAATCTCTAATAATTTTGTGAAGTAGCAACAGCAACTGGGATTACCGTTAATACAAGAGGAAATATATTATTCTTTGCTAAAGTGCTCAGACTATCTCATAAAAAAACCGCCCAAAATGAGAATTTATCAGGCTACACAAACAAAATAGTGCATATTTGTGTGGGAAACTGATTAAAAAAGCCGTTTCCTGATCATAATCTATAACTAGATATCATATCTGCATGTTACTCCCAGAAACTGGTTTGTCAGGAAACCTGTTACCCCCGAGCATCAAACAGAAGCTGAGATATGCATTTTCTTATTTGAGCAGAGGAGAAGTTAACCATGAATATGATACACAGATTAAACTTCTCAGTTCAAGAACAGGCCTTAATTCCAAGAGGAAACCATCGGGGTTACACCAGGAAATCAGACATTAAAATAGAAGATTGAGTCATTTAACACTCAGACTTTCTACAGTTGAACACTTTTGCTGGTGTGCATGTACCAGCATGTTTGTTTAAGGATCTATTGCATAATGCCAAAGTGACACCTTTCTACGTGATTTATCAAAACCCAATAAGACAACTGCAAAAACCATAAAAAACTAACTGTATGTAAGAGGTTCAGATATGAAATCTGAAATGTGTTTAGGCATGCTGCCATTACTTTTTAAAATACGTTTCCCAGTAGTGAAGTTTTCTTCTGAGTAAGATAAAAGCAGCACCACAAATGATTTATAGAGTATGTTTAACTAATAAAAATAATCGACCCATGTACAGTATCATCTTACCAGAGTCAACCAATCCTGGCCACCAGTCACAACCTCCAGCTCCTCCAGTGGGCTCCAGAGGCATGCCAAGATTAAAGGTCTGTTTTTAAGTAACCTCAAAACACAGGCATTCTCATTGGACACCTAAACATCTAAGCTCTCAGTACTTGATTCTTGAATTCATCCATTTAAAGTAGAGATTTCCTTCATTGCTGCTGTTTGTATTCCACCTCTTCAGAAAGAGAACCATAGCCTCACACAAAGAAGAGTTTACTATGAAAGTTTTGAAATGTCAGTCACATTATCTGCAAAGTAAAGATTAAACCTTGAAATCATCTTTGAACTGCAAGGTTCACTTTATGTAGAACATAAAAAGATTGGAAACAAGTATTTAGCTTTGGAGGGGTCCAACCTAGCTAGCCAAAGGTGACTTCAAGCCAAGGATCCAGAGACAGCTTATGCTATGATCAATGACTGAGCAGATAGTCAGAGTAAGTTAGGCACCTCACACCCCTGCAGCAACCCCTCCCAACATCCATCCACCCACCCACACAGTGCCTACAACATGCTTTTCTGAAAGATAACGAAACCAGCCACATTCAGCAACTTATCTAAAATTATAACCGTCAATTTTAAAACCAGCCAGGTTTGTATTTGGAGACTAAATATAGAATCCCTACTTTAAAAAAGTAAAAAATAATTTCAGAAATATGAACCTGAACCTGGCCTAAAATTCTATGTAAAAATCCAGGACAAACAGTCCATTGAGGAAATGGAAATAAACGTCCATGTCATCTACTTTTTGAAAAAAAAAAATAACAGCTTTTTTTTTTTATCAAAATAAAATTTTATTTTATCTTATTTTTATTTAATTTTTTTACAAAGAGACGATTTATCTGTAGGTTATTTCAAAGGAAAGAAAACCCAACCGAACACTCGAGTCACTCCTCCAGGAGAAGGGATTCCTGAATTGACTGAGGGGCCCAAACTATGTGCAGGTAATGGGCAGGATATCTCACCTCTGAGCACGCTCCACATCTGGATGACTTCTTAGCAGCTTCTTCTTCTCCTCTTCAGACTTTCTGGCCACATCTTCTTCATTAGAAAAGGACTAAAAATGAGAAACGACATGTACAGGTACTTAAATGCCTCTGTCTGTATTGCAGTAATTCCAACGAAGGGGGAAGGAGGCCATGTTACGTTGGATCCCAAACGATTACTTGCAACTGGTTCTCAGTTCTAAAATGTTTGCCGTTTCAACACCTAGGACAGGACTGACTGGTCTTGCATTGCACTGATACTAGCATTTCTGGAAAATATAAAAGCTATGACTATACTACTGACAGGAGAGCAACCCATCTGTTACTCACCCCTCTGGTCAAGCGGAAGTACACGGTAACTGGCCCCATCAACATCATCTTGAGTGTCACAATGGCTGCATAGGTGGCAAAAGCCTTGAACACCTCGTTTTCCATCAGCTGGGTCATTTTTAGTGATTGACTAAGTTGTGAAGCTGAAAGAAGGAGCAGCAGATTAACAATTTCAGTTTAAACAACGTAAGAATGCTCTCATAGGTCAAATAAAGGAATGTTTTTTCCCCATGTAGAGTTGACTGATCATGCAGCAAAATACAAAGTTCTTATGCATTCCACAGAGGAACCAAACACTAACATTAAAAAAAGCTCCACTGAAGCCAATCTCAACTTTTATACTAAAACATAATAGGAAAATAAACTATTCAAAGCAGGCAGGGAATGCCCAAACCAAAACTCATAAATCATGAAATAAACTTACAGTTTTCCTGCGCAGTTTTCTCTCAGTAGTGACTCTGCAAAAGTGGAGCAGCGTGGATGTGTTACATAAGGACACCTCCCAATTCACTCTAGGGGTGGGACTTAGTAAAACTTCCTGTTTGGAGCCGACCTGCTTAGTTTCTAGGCCTATGAAAAAAAAAAATATATATATATCTGGCTCTTTCTGGAGTTTTTTTTTCTTCTTCTTTGGGAGACAAATATTTAATGCTCAATGTTGTCACATATTAGAATATTGTATGAGAATTGTAAAGTGCAGATTATTAAATTGGAAAAAATGCTATTATCGTAGTTTAAAAGTTTACCATTTCCAACAAAAAGATCCAAATACTTTTTCATTGCTATTTTCAACTAAAACAAATGATCAAATCTTCTTTTTTATTCTCAGTGGAGGTTAAAGTTTTTATAAAGTTCAGTGGAAACCACAATGAAAATCTCATTGGAAAACTGGTCAGTTTCTGTCAAGAAGGTGAAGATATTTCTCTCTTTGTGTGCATACAATGCAGAAATCATCATTTTTGCATCAAAATAGCCTCACATCCAGGAAACTGCTCCTGAGAATATTGTAGCTAATAACATAGTTTTTTGGATTACTGATAACTTCAGGCTGGGAGACTTACCTGCAGATCTAACAATGTCAAGAGGGTTCAGAAAACTCCTGGACCATAAGAGTTTGCTGAATAATTGTGATGTGGAAAGTATGTTTGATATTTGCAGTCAGTTGTGAGCTAATTATGTTGATACAAGAACTCTAGTAAATATTTTTCAGAATAAAAATCAAGAACAGAAATTAAATCCTAGATTTGGGACACCAGGAGCTTTTTTTTTTGTCTAAGGATTCCTGCTAGATTTTATTCTAAATCTCTGAAAATTATTATTTTCGAAGCATGTATTTCGTTTTAGCTGTTTTTAGTTTCTGTGCTTTTTAAAAATGGTTTTAGAGCCAGAAATAAATCCTAAAGCTTGGACATACATCAATCACAATAAAGAGTTCAGGAGTCTTTTAACTGATAAGTAAAAAAAATAAATAACAAAATGTAAGCAAAATTACATTTTAGAACTACAGATCTTTACTAGGTGGATGCAGACATTTCACTGCACCATCTGGAATCATGTTGCTCTGTTCTGGTGTAAACTTTCAACATCATGCTTTTTTTGATGAAACAGTTATTTTAAACTTTATATAATGAAAGGATTCATGGCCACATATTAACAACACTGAAGGAGGATATTGCGAGGTGTTTTTCTACAAGATCATCTATGCAGGAAAATGACATGGGCACAGTGATAGTAAACTAACGCAGGCAGGGGGGAAGGATTTCTCCCTACTCTCCTATTTTTCTTCACATTTGTCTGTTAACGAAATAACATCAGAAATATAGGATTTAAAGGAAGGAGCAGCCCAAGCTTAAAGATGAGGACAAATCTTAGTTCATTCGTAGTCAGTCCACTGAAGAGTTTGTGAGAATTAAATTGATCTAGAAAGAATGCTATTCTTTAAAGTTACCTTTTTTTTTCTCTTAAGGCTCATCTTAAGGCACCTTATTCACATTTAGTCACAGAATGTGAAAGAGACAGAAAAAGAAAAGAATAAAATATGCAGCAAACGTCCCAAGGCCAGGAATCAAAACATATAGTGCTTTTAGGTACTAATAGTCTTTGTCTATGGGTGGCTCTCTATCGCTCTGCCAAAAGCCAACCTGTGATCTACTTTTTATGCATCGTTATTCAGTATACAGTGTCTGCTGATGACTGCAGATATGTGTTAGCTGTAAGTGCAACCATTTTTTTCCTCTGTGCTTGAACAAATCAAGTGCTTCCTAGCCACTGATTATCATTACAACCCCTTCAACCATCATGATTACACTGGAAAAAATCTAAATCATTTTTTCTTAAAGTAAGTGCATTGTTCTTGAATTGAGAAGGTAAAAGGAAAGTTTTTCCAATGGAAAAAGACAATTTACATTTCAAATAAGAAAACATAATTGCATTGTCTTATTTCAATTGCATTTTATCTAAATATCTTATTTTAAGAGTAAAAATACTCATTCTATTGGCAAATCAGCTCATTTACCTACTCAAATTAAGGGTTAATACACCTGATTTAAGAAATTTTTACTTATTTCTAGATTGTTTTTGTAGTGTAACCACTGACTTAAGTAACATTTTTATTAAAATCAACACGTTTTGCAAAAACTGACTGCATAGGGACTGACAGATTGCATTCTTGACACAATCCCAGTCTATGGTCATTTTTTAACCCCAAAGAATAAAACATAGACCAACTGAATGGTGGAAAGTGAGATTTGAACAATCACTGTATAATTCATTGAGATAAATAAGGCTTTTATAATGACACACTGTTGGAATAAACAAACTGAGACAAGAATGTGAGCATCAGACTCAGAGTGTCCGTCAAAACCCACATAGCATGAATATTATGTTTGAAATGTATTCGTTCTCTTAGCAGTGATTCTCTTCTGTTGTGTGATACAAGCAAACTAAGAAAAGCACCAAAGGCAGCTATGAAAGTAGCACAGAGAGCTGTTTGTTAGGTCTCAAAGCTAAGGCAACCAATCACTATTTCTCTTGACTTCCTTCTTTATCATTGTACAAATAAAACTTTATTGCTGTTTTTGTCTTGAGTGGTCATTGGGCTACATCATGATAATCTGTAACGTGAAGAGGGGATGTCTTAGAATTGAATGGCCTCTTGCCCTATTGTGGTTGATCTTTAAGCTCTGTAATACGTAATGGGGAGCCAACAGATAATTTTACTTGTTGTAAGCATAGTTCATACCAAAGGGATCTATTTTTTTCTGCCCACAACTAATTTATTCCCTTGTTCTTTTTTTTAACATCAGTGAAAATGTCTTAACTGCCAAAAGACGGTCACTGCTGACTATTATTTGTAAATAACAAATTAAGCTTGAGATATCTCTTAATTTTTTTTACCGCATTTATACTTTACAAATCTTCAATGGACCTCAAATGTATGGATAGGATGAATGAAAACACTGAATTACCTGAAACATATTTAAAGCAGATACATAGGAAGGATTTACAAGGTTTAGCTCTAAGAATCAAAGAACTTTTGTATTTGTTGTATATGTAGCCTGTCATTCTCTTTTTTCCAAAAAAAAAAAAAAAAATAAATAAATATTATTATAACTTCCTCTATACTCTGTTGGCCCTAATCAGCATGAGCTCAAACAGCCCTAAGATTTTTCGGAACCCAGACTCTCTGTACTCTCTGCAGCCCCAAGAAAGGTTTCCCTAAGACAGCAGGACCCAGACAATCCATCAAACTCTGTCTTCCTGTTGTCTTCAAACGCTCAGGATGTTTCCTGTTGTCACTGCGGGATTAAACATCCCTGTTCCTCTGTGTGCCACTGCAGAGGGGACAGTCTGAATATAACTTGACACCCTCACAGGGCTTTATTACCTGAAACTGTGCTCAGACAGCACAGAGGAGCGAAGATGCAGACGCTTTGGATTCATTAACAATGGCACTGTCCCAATACAGTTAATTTATCTAGAACAACACTGCACAACCACATTTATCTGCATTAAAAATGGTTGAAGGAGCAACAAATCATAAAAAAATCACACAGTATAGTTGTCATATTCCATAAGTGCACAAAAATAGTATGTTATTTTTTTATGTGAATTAAGTTTAAAGGTAATTTATATATTTTTATTCCATTATTACAATGTTGAGCTTGATTACAACCAGTTCAATTCCCATTTTTTTAGTGGGATGCTTTTCAATAAACACAGGTCCAGTTCATATCATGGTTACAAGAACTCATTAATTATTTCATTTTAAAAGATCGAATAAAGTAAAAAATCCATCCATCCATCAATCTTATCCCAAGCTGGGTCGCAAGGGGTGCTGGTGCCTATCTCCAGCTGTCAATGGGCAAGAGGCAGGGTACACACTGGACAGGTTGCCAGTCCATCGCAGGGCAACACAGAGACAAACAGAGCAAACATTAGAGAAGCCAATTAACCTATCAGTCATGTTTTTGAAATTGTGGCAGAAAGCCAGAGTACCCAGAGAGAACCCATGCAGACACAGGAAGAACATGCAAACTCTATGCAGAAAGACCCCGGGCCTGGAATCAAACCCAGAACCTTCTTGCTGCAAGGCAGCAGTGCTACCCACTGCCCCACTGAGCAGCCAAGTTAAGAGTCATTCCCAATTATTTTAAACATGATCTGATATATTTTCAGCTGTTTAACTGATATCTATGGAAGTCCCATTAATGCAAACAAGTTGTTGACTTTGTAGCAATCTCAAATCCCTAGCAAGCATGATTGAACAGTAAAAAGGAAGAATTCCCTTTAACAGAAAGAGGCCTGAACCAGCCTGGGTAGCTACCAGTAGATGAGAGGACACAGAAGCCCTGATTCAGGAATATGTATTTCACAGAAAAACAGAGTAAATAGTGAATAAATGAATAGTACCAACTGCTTATTCTAGGAAATATACTCATGCTTCATAGTATTTGAAAACATTATAAAGGGAAACTACTTTAAAAAATTGCATTATTAAAAAAAAAAAAATTGCATTATTTCCATTTTTTATTTGATTTTTTTACTGAACCTTCCCTCACCCTTCTAACTCTTTCTTCATCACAACAATGACTTGGACACTCTGTTTGGACTTCATCACCTCAGTCATCGAAGCCAGATTACAGTCATTACTTGCATTTACAATATTGAAACTATGCAAGTATTTTTGCAGCTTGATTCAATGCATTGTAGAGCTCCCTCAATTGTCAGGAAAAGAGATAAAAATATGACATAACTCCATCCATCTGTCCGTCTGTCCTGCAGTCTATGGGCGAGAAGCGGGGAATGGCATGGACAGGTCACCAGTCTGTCGCAGGCTCAATAATAAAAAAAAGCAACAGCTCACATAATTTATTCCAGATAGTTGCAGAGAAAAAAAATCCTAATCCAGAATTTCAATTTACTATAAAACAGGTTTTATTCAAATCATAATACAAGGAACATACTTCTTAGAAGTACTGTAGTTGATGTTTCTGTGCTGTTGAAACAATAATAGA